TTTTTTTTTCCCCCCCCCCCCCCCCCCAAATTATTTTTTTCTTGCATATACCCACCACCCAGAAGCCAAAGTTCACATCTTTTGTTTATATTAAAGAAATAAAGTTCCTAGTGAGTTGTTGCAGATAAGTTCTGTTACAATTGCATAATGCAATGGACCAAAGTTGTTGCTGGCAAAAACTCTCACAAGCTTACCTCTTTAAAGTGTCCTTTATGCAAGGTTCAATTTTTCTATTTACTCTTTGTTTTTTAACCACTTTTAGAGCTTCTTATAATCAAGAAAAAAGGTTGAAATATTTGTTTATGTTACAGACAGATAACTTTTCCATAATTCATGGATTTGATGGGAGTTCCTTTCAACAGTATTGCATAAATCAGGATTTTGAGGACGGGTATTCGTCTATAGTTCCCTTTTGTTTTGTTTTTTGCATTTCTATTGTGATATCCATTTTCTTGATTCGTTTGTTTGACCATTATTGCAGCTTTGTCTTATCAAAAGCCCACAAGTACAGATTACAGTGTTATTATACTGAACCAGGTCTTCTGCTTCTTATCATTTCATTTTTTTTTTTCCATATTATCTCACAATTATTTTCACCTTTATGCATTTTTTTATAGTTTAACTTTATGTTTAATCAGGTTGCTTAAGTGACATTTTCAGCGTGCAACGTTATTGGAAATCACACAGGTATCTTCAGCCAAACCGTTGGCTCCAAAGTTGGTTAAGAAGAGAAATCCAAGCCCTGATACAGGTCCGAGAATTAAATAAGTTTAATTACAAAGTTACACAAGGATCTCTTTTTCTCTGTCAAAAAATTTTTGACTTAAAATCGACCCTTTTATATAGTATAGATCAAGGTTTTAAAAGGCAGAATTGGGCCTCGAGGCGTTTTGCCCTTACAAGGCGAGGCGTAAACCTCAAGGCGCTTTGAGGCGTAAGCCTCAAAAAATGCCTATAAAAAATTTAGAAAAAAATAATAATAGTAACAAAAACTAAATAAATGCATACTTAATAATAATTAAAAACAAGAAATTTAACCAAATATCCACATAAAGACTGAATAATTATCAAATCCTAATATCATAAGGTTCATAATGCACTTCTAAAAGCCTAATCACCCAACTCATCAATCATCATCACTACTAAGAGAAGCATCGGCCAATTTAAATCTCTCATTGTCCACAAATTCTTGACTGTCAGTGTCAAAATCAGAGTCTATCCACTCTTCTTCTTCATCCTCTTGCATGGTCTCCTTGCCTCTATCACCTAATAATCAAAATTAAACTTAAGTTACTATCTCTTATATGATAATTAGAGTAAATAATAGAGAAGACAACTAATAATTCATAAGGCATATCAAGCCACTAACCTGTCCTCTTCTTTTTAGAGCTTTTTCGAGCTCTAGTACTAGTACTAGTACCTTCTCCATCCTCAAAAAGATCAATGTCAAGATTGTCAATTGCTTCCTCCATTTGAAGTTCGCCTTCATTTTCATTTCTAGCTATCCATTCATCATCAGATGTCAACTCATCAATGATTAAAGGATCCTCATCTAGCTGAAGTGCCTTTTTTTTTTTTTCAAATGTCGATCTTTTAGCTTCTTGTTGAACATGATGTAGACCAAGGAATTTATTTTTTGTGCAGTCAAGCGATTTCTTCTCTTGGTATGAACTTGGTTGTGGGTACTCCAATTGCGTTCACATCCCGAAGATGAACAATCCATGTACTTCCTCCTTCAAAATTCATGTTCTAAGCTCATGCATACTTGGGAGTACAAGACCTCTACCATAGTTGCCAATTGATCTACACATATTAAAATAGGAGGGGCTCCTAGCAATATTGAAAGCAAGTGCATTTTCATAAAAGAACCTACCAATGTTGAGACATACTCGAGAACGGGCCTCTTTCTCACTTGATGTCGTTCTAAGGGAAGGTTTTTCTTTTGCTTCCTTATCATCCACATTGTTCAAAAACCTATCCACTCCTCTATCACTAACCACTTGCGGCGGTTGACAAGAGTTGACAAATCCATCACCATAATAACAGCCAACATCCACCATTTCTTCAAAATTCTGATGCGCTAACTGTTTTTTAGCGGCCCACTTGTTCATATAGTCATTAATTTCTTTCTTCACATCATCAGGAACCTTAGGACAAGGCTTTACATTCTTATGAGTGCAAGCAATGTGCTCTTTCATTCTCTTAACACCTCTTTTTATAATTTGATTGCAAAACACACATTGGAGGTAAACATAAGTCCTTTTGTCATTTTCCGATGTAATTTCTTTTTCATATTTTCAAGCCGGATCCCGTCTCCCACTACGACTACCGCTAGCATTTTGGGAGATCTCATCCTAATTCCTAACTTAAACCCAAAAAAAAAAAAAAACACGAAACATTAAACCCAAAAAGTCATTCACGATCCACTGCTCTGCTAGAATGCTACTACAAAATGAAAGGGAAAAAAAAAAAAAAAAAAAGGTCAAGAGAAGGGATTATATATCTCACTTGAAAGGTTGGCCGTCGGCTTGCTATGAAGTCCTCTATGGTGCGACCGCGGCTGGTTGGAGCAGAGGAAGCCGTGAAGGAACCTTCTGAAGAAGAAGAAGGAGGCACGGCTTCGGGAAAGAAGAAGAAGAGCTGGTTCTGTCGTTCTGGTTGATGGAGCAGAGGAACCCGTGAGGAGAGGTGCGAAGAAGAAGGAGGCACAGCGAGGAGGGAGAGGTGCAAAAGAATGAGAAGTTGTTGTTCTAGTTCGGTTTTTGTTACTCTGGTATTTGGGCCTTTGGGGCCGGCGGCCCACATCATTTAGGCTCAAAAAAACCCACAGAAACCCTATATCACTTAGGCGGACGCCGCTCAAAGGCGTGCGCCTCAAGTGGCTGAGGCGCACACCTCAACACCTACCCTGTAAGGCGTAGGAGTTGAAGCGCTCTTCCAGCGCCTCGCCACGAGGTGTGCCTCAAGGCGTGCGCCTCTGGCGCTTTTTAAAACCTTGGTATAGATTTGGCCATTTCTTCATGACTTAAGAACTTCCTTTTTCTAGTTGTAGGAGGAAGATGTTGATATCATTATGCACCACATACTTGGCACAATTGATTCATTCCTGACAAGGTGCCTTTTGTTGATATTTTGCATCTTAAGTTGTTTCAATACGAGCTGTCGTCGAAATCAATTTGGGTGATGCTTATTACTGTGTTTGAACCTTTCTGACTCCCTGGATTTTGGTAGGAGTAAACAACAATCGCAAAGAAAAACACCGGAAGCAGTGAGAGAGGAGTTCCAATCGTTGGCATCTGATGCAGCTAGGCCCTTTTTAGCGGCGAGAACTGATCGGTTTGTAAGTGAAGTGGAATTGTTTCTTGCTTCGGGGTTGAATATCGAAGCCTATGACGCTGTTTACAAGCAGCGCCTAGGTTGGAGTGCGCCCGGCGTTACTAGTGAGGCTGAAGGAGAAGTCAGTGAGCATCAGCATACACCTGTAATCCCATATTTGTACATATTTGATGAGGAATATGATGAAAATGATTGAAAGTATCCTCTTATAACAATCCAAGTTATTTTCTTATTGAGATGTCATTTCCAATCCTTGGTTTCAGAACTGAGAAAGTGGAGCCTTTGCTAAATCAAAAAAGCTTGAAGCTCCATCTATCATAGATTTCTTTTAATATCCTGCACTGACCTTTTAGGGATCAAGTTATGCAGCATGCTTATGTAGATGTGTTTTCAAGCAACTTGGGTTAGAGAGATTAACTACTCTTTTATTGCAAGGGAAAAAAAAGAAGAAAATGAATGGTTTCTGGCCACTACAGGGAAATCGAAAGAACATTGACTATTTGTGGGTTCAAAAAAAAAAGCAAATTAAAATAAGAACTGAAGCAGCATAGACATGAATAAACTTACTCTCACTTCTATAATCTGTGTGATTAATTGGCTGCAAAATGAGGTTTCCAATACGGACGTTTGGTTCTGAACTTTTTGCTCACTTGTGACTTCAAACTGATTGAGTTCTCCCTTTCAGGGTGAACAATTATAAATTCTGTGTCCTTCTTACAAATTATTGCTCTCGTTAGTAAGAGATTAGCGCGCTTAATTAACAACAGCTGTGCTTAATCTGTAATTACAATTATTATTGCTGTCTTTTTTTTTTTTTTGGCTGGGATTGTCGTAGATTCGTGTCCTAGTAATCTTCAAAGATAGTATACCCGTGATCAAACCTGATAGAGTTGAAATCATGTCCACACGATTTTTCGGAGTAGTCGAGGGTTGGTCAACCGCACATTGCACTCTCAAACCTGATAGGGACCACCAAAAAAATAATAATAAAAAAAACAAACACTCGTCATTGACACAAACTGAAAGAATCGTCTTTCCATTGGATAGAAATAAATTACAAACGGCTGCGGTTTTGCTTGCTTGCATCTTTGAGTTGATAATTTCTCGAGTCTCCTGAGGTCAAAAGTGAAGTGAGTAATTGAGCTAGAGTGAGATGGCAAGAGATCAGTTGGATTATGGAGCTTTTATGGAGAAATTCCTTCTCCAACCACACCCTTCGGACCATCAACTTCCCCTGAACTCCCTCACTTTTGCCGTCAAGGACATGTCAGTCAATTAGTCATTCTCTCCTGTACATATATCTTCTCGATGTTTAATTAAATTTTTTGTTACGTTTTTCTCACTATGTCACGTTTTCATTTGATGGGTTAATCGGAATTCTTAGTTTTGTTAGAAATCCATACTGGGTGTTGTTATACTTGTCACCACTGGTGTCTACGTTTGTGCTTTTGAAGCCAGAGAGAGAGAGAGAGAGAGGGGTGCTTTTTTTTTTGTTACTCCGTACTATGTGTGCCTGCAAAAATGTCTGTGAAATGGATCCTCATTCTTTGGTATGCCTGTGTAATTAATGAATTGTTTGTGTTGTGCTTAATTCTCATTTTCTTGGGTTTTTCTTAATTTGGTTTGTTTTTTTTTTTTTTTTTTTTTTTTTTTTTAAACTCTGAACCTTGGAAACAGATTTGATATGGACGGATATACGACTGGATTTGGAAATCCTGATTGGGCGAGGACTCATCCAGCCGCCACGTCAACAGCTCCAGCTGTTCTGGCCATCTTAAGGGCAGGAGCTACATGTGTTGGTAAAACTGTCATGGATGAAATGGCATACAGGTGACAATACTTCCGTTTCTATCAGAAAAAGTTTGGTTAATACTCACAACTTTGCTTCAAATAACATTATGTTTATAAGTAAAAGGCAGTTGGATTATTCTGTGGTTATTAAAATCTTTTCATGTTATTTATTGTGGGAAATAGGTGCTAGAGATAGGATGATAAACACTTTAGGAATTGGATAAAACACTTAATCCCTAGATTTTAGGGATTCAGATGACAGCAAGTTTGGATATTAGGATATCTCTTCTAGGAAGTCTCTATCTCCTCTTATCTCTTATTCATTATCCGTGTATATATATAGCCCTTTAGAGGCTCTTGTAAATGCAATTAATAAAATATAATCATTTATTCTTTTCCACATGGTATCAGAGCCATAGGGCTTGTTTTTCCCTGGGATTAGAAACCTTTTTTCCTTCTTCGGCAATCATAGCCAAATTCTCCCTGACTTGCCTTCATTGCAGTCTTTTTTAATCGTTTATCTATCCAATTTTTTTTTCTTCTTTTGTGTTCCTTTGCTAGGGTTTTCTCTCTTTCTCTGTGACTTCATATCTAGATTAAGAGATGTCAGAAATAACCTCTTCAACTCCAGTGGTTCAATCAGCCGAACAGCGTGAGGAAGAACAAAGTCAGCGCTCCACGAGAGAATTATAAAATATCCAAACTGCTTATAGACTTAACGGCATAAACTACCTAAAGTGGTCCCAATTACTTCGGACTTTTCTGAAAGGCAAAGGAAAATTGAGTCATCTATTAGGAACTGGACCGAAAGAGGGTGAAAGTGGTTTTGAAGCATGGGACGAAGAGGATTCCATGATCATGTCTTGGTTGTGGAATTCTATGACACCCGAAATCAGCGACACATGCATGTTTCTACCAACCGCAAAAGCAATCTGGGATGCACTGAATCAAACCTATTCTAAAGTCCATGATGCATCACTAATATACGAAATTAAGACCAAGACAGCATCCACAAAACAGGGAAGTGAAACTGTGACCGAGTATGCTAACTTTCTGCAAAATAAGTGGCAAGAGTTGGATTATTATCGAGTAATTGACTTAAAGTGCAGTAGATGTGCAGGGGCAATAAAAACCTTCATAGAAAGAGATTGAGTTTATGATTTTCTTGCAGGTCTAAACCCTGAATTCGACCAAATGAGGATTCAAATCCTAGGTAAGATGGAAGTACCGTCTCTTAATGAGACAATATCATTAATACGGGCTGAAGAGAGTCGAAGAGGAGTGATGCTTGAACCAGAAACGGCTGATGGATCTACACTCGCAACTTCTGGTAACAAGCAACAGGGTCTTACTTTGGAGCAACCACCAAAAGCTGAGCATGGAAAGGCAGAGGTGTCAAAGGGAGCAAATCGAGATGACATGTGGGGTACCTACTGTAAAAGGCCGAGACATACAAGAGAACGCTGCTGGAAATTACATGGCAAGCCGTCGACAACCAGCCGTGAGTGGGGAAATAAAGGAGGACAGTAGCAACGATAATAAGGCCAGACTTATAAGGCCTCACAAGTAAGTCAGAATCATGATCCAGCACAAGAACATGGCGGGTTTAACAGTGAGGAAATAGACAAATTGAGAAACCTACTAGGAACACTTGAGAAACCGTCCTCCAACAACTGTTTGTTAGCTCTCTCAGGTAAGTCTCCATTTTCTTATGGATTGAATGTTTCTGATAAAGTATTTGTGAATGCATGGATTTTAGACTCGGGAGCCACAGATCATATGACACATACCTCAAATCAGTTTAACACTTACACCCCATGCCCAAGCAATAAAAAGATTATTGTTACCAATGGAACCACAACCACAGTAGCCGGAATAAGAGATATTCATATCACACCTAGTCTTATCCTTAAAAACGTTCTACATGTCCCTAAACTTTCAACCAACCTTGTGTCTATTCAAAAGCTTACAAAAGACTTGCACTGCCATGTTATGTTCTATCCCTCTTATTGTGAATTTCAAGATTAGGATACAGGGAAGAAGATTGGACGTGCTGAAGAAAAGGATGGACTTTATTACCTTGAGATGTCAAACCTTCCAAGTATGATCAAGAGAAATTCACCCTCCTCGTTTCTTTCTTCTACAAAAAAGGATGTCATCTGGTTGCACCACTTCCGCCTTGGTCACCCTTCCTTTACAACCTTAAAAATCATGTTTCCCTCTTTATTTAAGGGATTAGATATTAGGACATTTCATTGTGATATTTGTGAGTGTGCAAAACACACTCGTGTGTCTTTTCCTATTAGCAATAAAAGATGTTCTTTTCCATTCCATTTAATCCATAGTGATATATGGGGACCCTCTACTCTTCCAAATATTTCTGGTTCACAATGATTTGTATCCTTTATCGATGATTGCACTAGAGTCACCTGCCTTTTCTTGCTAAAAAACAAATCTAATGTGAGTAACATCTTTCCTAACTTTCATATGATGATCCAAAACCAGTTTGGTACGAAAATAAAAAGGTTTAGGTCTAACAATGCAAAGGACTACTTTAATCAAGTTTTATCTCTTTTTTTCCAAAAGAGGGAATTATTCATGAGTCATCTTGCATCAAAACCCCACAACAAAATGGGGTTGCTGGACGGAAAAATGGTCATCTCCTAAACACTACCCGAGCACTCTTATTTCATCAAAATGTACCGAAACACTATTGAGGGGAGGCGATTCTTATTGCTGCCTATATTATAAATCGACTTCCTTCAAGGGTTTTAGGGTCGAAAAGTCCAATGGAAGTTCTCTCTAAGTTCCATCCCGACATTAGTGCAACAAACAACCTTACACCTAGGATCTTTGGGTGCACTTCCTTTGTCCATATCCATAGCAACAATCGGGGCAAGTTAGATCCTAGGGCAGTCAAATGTGTCTTCATAGGATACTCCTCCACAAAAAAAGGTTACAAATGCTTTCATCCACCCACCAGAAAACTCTGTCTTGGTTGATGTCACATCTGCAGAAGACTAGCCATATTTCACTACACCTTATCTTCAGGGGGAGTCCTATATTATGGAAGATAAGGATAAGGATCCATTCCTACTTGACCTATCAACAGATTCACCATCTCCTTCTCACTCCCATCCTCAAAACCCAACATCACCTATCTCAAACACATAACCGGTACCTCCTGATCCTGTTGTGTCACCAGTACCACCTGAAAATAGGACTCTTGATGATATACGATTTGGAAAAGGGAAGACATACTCAAGGCGACAAGGACCAACTCTCGAATCAGCACAAGTTCAAATCTTCAACCCAGCTTCTGAGAATGAGGTAACAATATCTGAACCTACTTCACCCCTACTTGTAGAAAACAAATACCCATCTTCGGAATCTCAAACCTTTGACCAAAATCTGCCCATAGCCGTGAGAAAAGGAACTCGAGAGTGTACCAAAAGACCACTATACCCTATATCTCATTTTGTATCCTTCAAAAAGTTTTCACCATCCCATAGGAACTTCCTCACGAGTTTAAATGAAACTGCTATTCCAAACACTTTGTCCGAGGCACTATCTAAGGAAGAATGGAGAAAAGCTATGAGAGTCGAGATGGATGCATTCGAAAAAAATGGGACATGGAAGTTAGTTGATCTTCCAAAAGGGAAGAAAGTAGTGGGGTGTAAATGGGTTTTCTCCTTGAAGTTCAAAGCAGATGGATCATTAGAGCGCTACAAAGCAAGGTTAGTTGCCAACGGGTACACCCAAACATATGGGGTTGACTATCAAGAGACCTTCGCGCCAGTTGCAAAGATGAACACCGTCAGGATCTTACTATCACTAGCTGCCAATTTTAATTGGAACTTACAACAATACGATGTGAAGAATGCCTTCCTTCATGGGGACTTAGAAGAGGAAATCTATATGAGCATCCCACCTGGGTTTGAAGAAGTTGAAAGGGACAAGGTATGCAAGTTAAGGAAAGCTTTGTATGGATTGAAACAATCACCCCGTGCCTGGTTTGGAAGATTTACCAAGGTAATGTTAGCCACTGGATACAAGCAAAGTCAGGGAGACCACACCCTCTTCATCAAGCACTCAGAGTCACGGGGAGTCACAACCTTAATAGTCTATGTAGACGACATTATTGTAATTGGCAATGATGAGAAGGAGCAGCAAGTCCTAAAACAGTGTTTGATGAAAGAATTTGAGATTAAAGATTTGGGAAGGTTGAAATACTTTCTTGGGATTGAGGTCACGCATTCCAGACAAGGCACATTCATCTCGCAACAAAAGTATGTCACTGATCTTCTCAGAGAAACCGGAATGCTCGCAAGCAAGCCGGCCACAACACCTATAGAGGCAAATCATAAGCTTGGAGAAGCTATTGAAGATCGAGCAGTAGACAGAGAAATGTATCAAAGGTTAGTTGGGAAGCTCATCTACCTTGCTCACACTCGGCCAGATATAGCATATTCAGTGAGCGTCATCAGCCAATTCATGCATAATCCCAAGGAGATTCACCTTCAAGCTGCCTACCAAGTGCTTCATTATCTGAAAGCTAATCCCGGGAAGGAGATCATGTTCAAAAGAGACAATGAGCTCGTCCTTGAAGCGTATACAGACGCAGATTACGCAGGTTCTCCCATGGATCGGAGGTCTATTTCAGGTCATTGCACATTCCTTAGAGGCAACTTGGTGACATGGAGAAGTAAAAAGCAAAATGTTGTAGCCTAATCAAGTGCAAAGGTAGAGTTTAGAGCAATGGCGCAGGGTGTCTGTGAGTTGTTGTGGTTGAAAATTATATTGGAAGACTTGAAGATTAAATGGAGTGGACCAATGAGACTCTACTGCGATAATAAATTAGCAATCAGTATTGCACATAATCCGGTGCAACATGACCGAACTAAACATGTTGAGATAGACAGGCACTTCATCGAGGAAAAACTAGAAAGCGGGTTGATCTGCACACCATACGTCTCCACAAAAAGTCAACTAGCAGACGTTTTTACAAAAAGGACTCAATAGTGCTACCTTCCAAGACAGTACTACCAAGCTGGGAATGAGAGACACCTATTCACCAGCTTGAGGGGGAGTGTGGGAAATAGGTACTAGAGATAGGATAAACACTGTAGGAATTGGATAAAACACTTAATCCCTAGATTTTAGGGACTCGGATGACAACAAGTTAGGATATTACGATATCTCTTCTAGGAAGTGTCTATCTCCTAGGAAGTCTCTATCTCCTCTTATCTCTTATCCATTATCCGTGTATATATATAGCCCTTTAGAGGCTCGTGTAAATGCGATTAATAAAATATAATCATTTATTCTTTTCCACATTTATCTCCTATCGTCAATGCTTTGGAACATAAGCTGCAAAATAACATCATTTGTTTTCAAGTGGTTTTAGAATGGTATCTTAAATATTAAAAGGACTTTTCAAGCTTCTTTCAATTAAAGACCCTCAGTTTTTCTCATTATACTATATAGTTATACAATACAATTGCTCTATACACTGGCAGTATAAATGGAGAAAACATACATTATGGCACCCCCACAAATCCATGGGCACCAGATAGAGTGCCCGGAGGATCTTCTAGTGGATCAGCCGTCGCAGTTGGTGCGGGCCTTGCTGATTTCTCCTTAGGTAAAGTTGTACTTTCCTCTCATGCTCTCTTAGTTTTTTCTTGCTTTAACCTTAATTCCTTGGAGCAAAAGTTTCTCCATTTTGCAGGAACTGATACTGGAGGAAGTGTGAGAGTTCCTGCATCTTACTGCGGAATTTTCGGGTTTAGGCCTTCCCATGATGTGATTTCCACCTCTGGAGTTATTCCTATGGCACAAAGCTTTGATACTATTGGTAAGGAAATAAATAGGTTCTGAGTACAGCTGAAATTCACAACCTGGTCAAGACAATTCCTGTAACTGTTTTCAAATCCAACAAACAATCTTAGAGTCTATTTAACATATATTCAACAATAATTCTTTGGACACACTTCTGGTTTAGGATGGTTTGCTAGGGATCCAGTGCTTTTGAAAAGAGTTGGAAGTGTACTGCTGCAATTGCCAAATGTGGAATCTGTGAGACCCGCACAATTGATCATCGCAGAAGACTGTTTCCAGCTTTCAACTACTCCGGGCAATCGAGTGGCAGAGGCTTTTGTTAAATCAGTAGAGAGGTTATTTGGTGGTGAGTATATTGATCAAATGTGTAGAAGTATGGTCCTTTTATTTGTTTTATATACTTCATGGATTATGGACCACCTCAAATTGGTCATTAATTAGATCGTGTTTGTTTCTCAATATGCAACAGAGGATAGGTTTTTTATTTTTATTTTTTAATTTTAATAAACTAGAGAGAGGGAACAACTAACATCAAGATAATTAGCACATCTCAACCAGGTTGACATCCACTAAAGTACATATTCCGCACTAAGTCCCCCATTTTGAATTAAGAAAGTTACATGATTACAAAGAAGAAAACCACCTAAAAAGGAAATAAGACGAATATAAAACCAAAGCTCAAAGAAAATTACAAAGAACCATAATTAGTTCCATCAGATAAATCATGAAGTCATGACTCGCATCTTGGAGTGTAAAATATACCTCGTTAAAAACCTTCTAGCCAAAACCCAATTGGAGAAACACCAGAAGAGAGAAAAAAATGCACATATTTATTTTACCTATAAGAGCCGGTTACTTAGTAAATTGCAATTAAAAAGACCCACAAATTTCTATTAACGAGGGGAGCACAAAAATCTGGGGCATTCTTCAGAGAATATTTGGCAAATGCTTTAGAAAGATTGGGGTAATCAGAAATGTGATAATGACGAAGAATTTCATTGTTCTTAGTATTCAGGCCTGTCGTTTATATCTATATCATTTTGTTTCTCAGTGAGTTAGGAGTATCTTTTCTGGCTAATGTAGGTCATACTGTAAAGCATCTTAGCCTTGGGGACTATGTCAAGGACAAAGTTCCAAGTTTAAAAAGTTTTGTGAGTGAAGGAAAAGCAGAACAAGAGTATAATATACCATCCTTGGCAGCCTTATCAAGTGCTATGCGTTTGCTTCAAAGGTAGAGAGATTCTTATGCTCGACTCACTGGCTTTAATGATAAAGTTAGTTCGATGTCTCCTTGCTAAACAAAAATTTAAGAAATTATACCATGTTGTGTAGATGTGAATTCAGGAACAACCATGGTGAATGGATCAAAACAGTCAAGCCTGATTTAGGTCCTGGGATCTCAGAACGTGTACGGGAAGCTCTTCAAATGACAGATGAAAAAATTGATGTCTGCCGCAGTGTGAAAAAGGAATTATATGCAGCTCTCACTACTCTTCTTGGGGTACTCTCTAATCTTTTCTCATTAGACAAGAATTCTACATTTTAGAACTCTTAACAATCCTATACCAAAAACTGATTTCTAACATGTTATGCTTAAAAAGCAAAATATTGGAACTCCTGTAATGTCTTTGATCGAATGCCTGGTGAAAAATCGCATGGAAGAATATGAACCCTGCATTTTCCTTTTAGCTTTGCTCGTACTCTGGTGGTGTTGAACACCATACACTTACTTATAAAAGGTGGATCTAAGAGCATGGGGCGTCCACCTTCTATTAGTTATAAACTTATAGTGCTTAATAGCGGTGGTGCTTCCAAGCATTTTTCTTTGCAAAACAAGCAAATTGTAGCGAAAAGAAGCAGACACTTTTTTTTTTTCCTATATCATTACTTGGGTTTGTCATTGATTTACTTCCAGGATTATGGTGTCCTTGCCATTCCGACGGTTCCTGGACCGCCACCAAAACTGAAAGCACCTGCAAATACGCTCGAAGTATTTCGTGCCAGAGCGTTTAGCCTGCTGTCAATTGCCGGAGTGTCTGGATTTTGCCAGGTTTGTTTCTCTCTCCTCATTAATATGAATGTTTTTTTACATATTTAATACGTCACTATCTTTTTCCTTTCCCAAGCATGACTTTTTTCTTGGAAAAGCTCACAAGTTGTTTCTGCTACTTAATAGGTGAGCATACCACTAGGGAAGTATGATGACCTTCCCGTGTCAATTTCCTTGTTGGCAAAACATGGCTCAGATGGGTTCCTCCTCAGTCTTGTTGAGACTCTTTATGATACTCTCAAAGACCAGGTTGGATTAGCCATAAGACCATGAGCTACTAAAGCTTGTCTCTTATTAAGCTCTAGCTTTGCTCCAAAGTTGAAGATACACTCTGCAGAAACTTAATCCAGCAGAATGGATTTACATTTACTTAGAGATTGATTCTCTTCAGCTTTCCCCAATATAATTTAGAATGTTTCATGTATTTGATCATATAAGCTATTCTACTATTTATATATATATATATATTGAATTTCTGAGTAAAGTTTTTGTTTTATTTTTTCTACCTATTGTTGTACGTATTCTACGCTATAAAAATTTCAATCACAACTCAATATGTGCATCACGTACCTAAACTAGTTTTTGAAAAATTATTTAAGTATATTGTAGAAAGAATATTCTAAAATAATATCTTAGGTTAAAGTTTTAATAATTGTAAAAACATATTTTTTTAATATCCAATTCACTTCTTTTTGAGTAGTCATTCTTGGGCTAACAATTAATTGTCTGTTATATATTTACTCTTTTTTTTTTGGCATCTCTAAATTAACGGACCAAACTAACCTAATGACATTGGATAAGGGAGCATTTGTCTTTGTACCATTGACAAACAAGCTCTACCGAATGAAAAATACCTCTCCCAAAGTTTCCAACGTACTATTTTTCTATTTGAGAATTTAATTCATATATCAAAAAAAAAAAAGGAAGGATTAACGAAAAAAATTGTTTAATTAATCTTAGTCTAAGATTTTTCAATCCTTATAAACTAAAATTTGCCTCTTGTTAGTGTAAAATTTTGTCTAATTGTTGTTCAAAAATGATGGCCACTTTCCCTCCTAAACTCTTTTCCTTTTAACTTTGATTTATAGTACTTTGGTTTCGGTCCTTAATAGAAATTAGGGATAAGGAGGAAAATAGCATATTTAGTAGGATGTTTAGTAAATTATAACATATTTTTTTAAAATGGTAGATTATAACATAATTTGATATTTTAAGTTTAAATATTTTTGAAAATCTAAAAATACTCATAAGCCTTCTTTCCACATATTTCTTCTTCTCCTTATAGTCAAGTCCACCATGGCCGGCTCCAGTGACCGGCTTCAACGGCAGACAGTCGGCTCCTGCAACCGGCACCCAATGGTCGGCTCTGGTGACTAGTAAATACCGTATTTATCAGTAAATATGATATTTCTTGATAAATACCGTATTTACCATATTTATACGGAAATCCGGGGACAGGCTCCAGCGACTGATAAATACTGTATTTATCGGTAAATACAATATTTACTAGTATATACCGTACTTAGCATATTTCTCTAACAATTTGGTGACCGACTCCGGCGATTAGTGAATACTGTATTTACTGGTAAATACGATATTTACCATATTTATCTAATAATTTGACGACTTGCTATGGTGACTATTTACCACAATATTTATCGGTAAATATTGTACTTACCACATTGATAAGTGAATTCAGTGAAATATTTACTAGTAAATACAATATTTACCAAATTTAAACTTGAATTCAATGAAGTATTTATCAGTAGATACAGTATTTACCATATTTGAAATGGAATTCAATAAAATATTTACTTGAAAATACAGTATATTCTCAAAAATCTAGAAACTCTCTCAAATCAAATCACAATTAAAAACACCCAAAAGCATGAAAAATACACACGAAAAATAACAACAATAACAACTAAAATTGTTTTCAAATCTCATAAAATAATATTCACAAAAGCCATAAATTCATTCATATCTAGAAATAGTAAAACAAAACTATAAAATTCACAAGTAAAATCAGATCTAGAAAATCACAATCTCAATCTCAGAATCACAATAAAAAAAAATCAACTTAAATCATGAAAAAACACAAAAAACAAAAAACAAAAAAACAAAATCTATTTAGCGTTCTCAGTAAAATACACCAAAAAACTCAGAAAAATGAATTGGCCTTCTCATGAATAAAGGATTTATAAATGTTTTAAAATTTTTCAAGAAATTCACCATTCAGTCGTTCAATAACATAAAACTAGTGAAAGGGTGTGAGCAATTTCAGAATTCGAATTTTTTTTTTATTGTTTTTTTATGAGGTAGATATTCTAATATTAGTTTATTATGGAAGTGGTTAGAGAGGTACCATTTGGAGCAAGAGTCATGTTTGGGTAAATGTGGAACTTGATTCCGGTGGATAGGAATTTCAACTTTGTTATTAGATGATTGTTTCTTTTGCATATAAATTATAATGTAAATACAAGGTTCTTTGCAGGATAAACTAATATGGTTCAACTTTTTCTTTAAAACTAATATGGATCAACTTTCAGAGGATGCTTGGAAGAATAATTCTTCCTTTTTAGAGTTGTTTCTAATAATTTTTTATATGCCACCACATGCTACCTAGCATGCTTCGTGCCACGTTTCACCACTTGGATTTCTCCCTCGCTTGCCACATAATGCCACTCGATCTTACCTTTTCTTGCCGCGTAGTGCCACTCGATTCCATTTTTTGGTTTTGATGGCTTAAACTAACTCTTGCAGTAATTCAAAACATATTTATTTTATATATTTAAACTCAAATTATTAATTATGTTATAATATTTTTTTTAATAAAAAATTTAAATTTTAAACATGAAAATCAAGAAATACATGCATATTCTCATGCATGTGCTTTTATATAAATGCAGAAGTTATCTTCATTTGTATGTATTGTGTTTATTACACAAGTATTATTCACGACATTTAGCATCTTCTTAACTCTTAGCTCCATTCAACACTCCATGATCCTTACTAGAAATCTCTTCTTCTTTTTTTTTTGGTTCTTTTCCATTACAGCTTTGTTCTCCTTGTTTGGGGTTCTTTCTTGGAAATTCCTCAAAAAACTTTCTTTAAGTGTATGAAAAAGGAGAAAATTCAAAAGTATCCCCCTGAGTTTTAGCTAAATCCAACATTTACCATTATGTTTTTTATAATCCAAAAATACCCCTTTTGTTTTTTTATTATCCCTACATTTTTTAAAAAAAGTAAAAGAGTAACCCTGATCAAAATTTTTAAAATATCAAAAATAACCTCAAGAAGTACTATTTAGATATTATTCGAAACATTAATTATGTAAAACTTTTAAAACTTAAATTTTAAAACTAAATAAAATCAAGAAAAGAAAAGAGTTAATGTGTTTGGATGACCACAAAACCGTATTAACTGTAGGAAAACAAGTCCAAATTCACAGTTATATCAATAGTGAGAGCGTAAGATACTGTGTGGAGCTATACCAGTTTGATCAGTTAAGTTTTGAATTTTTTTTTCAAAAACAGAATTTATTTTATTAAAAATTTTACCATTTTTTCTTTAAATTTAGTTTCTTAGTTATTAATTTTTATGATAATGTTTGAATATTGATCATTAAGGTTATTTATATCATCTTCTAACAATTTCACCACTTAGGGCATGTTTGGTACACCGTATAAGCACTCTGTATTGTATTGTTTAATAATATTAAAATGTTTGGTGACATTTATACATTATATAATTTAATATGAGATTCAACATTAATACAATATAAAGTGTGATATCTAATAGGGAAAAAACTTATGTACTAGACTGTATTATGCAATTTAACTTAAAATACCATATTAAAAACATATAAAATATTTCACAAATATCAAGACTCGGGGTTGGGTTTTGAGACTGATGTTGGGGTCGAGTTTCAGGACTGGAGTGGTGTTTGGTTTATATTTTTTAAAAAATTATATTTTGACCTTAAACTGTTTAAAATTATATTTTGACCCCTAAACTTTTAAAAAATTATGTTTTGACCCCCCAATTATTTTAAAATTATATTTTGACCTCAACCTTTTTTAAAATTATATTTTCCCCTAAATTTTTTGAAAATTATAATTTGCCGCCATTTTTTAAATTTTTCTTTTTTTGCAAAAAGACCCTTATGTAGCAACTTTACTTTCTCTTGTATTTCCTCCAAATGTTGGGTTCAGGTCGAGATTAGAGTTGAATTAAGTTATGATTAGGCCTAAATTTTATCTTATTACAAACTAATAGATTACAATGGTAAAATTAGTAAAATGTTTAATAATACTACCAACTAAACACCGTATTTGTGTAAAAATTATACAATGTAATACAATACTATACGATACAATACAATATAATACGGTACACCAAACATGCCATTAAGGGTTATATTTTACTTCTTTTAAACTTAAGGTATAATTTTAAGATAATTTAAAAACACAAAGGATATTTTTTGAATTATCAAAAACACAGAGGTAATTGTTGGATTTGCCTAAAACTGAAGGGATAAGTTATGAAGTTTCTCATGAAAAAGCATCTAGACGTATCTTAATCTATTGGAAATGAATTTGATGTATTATGAAAGTTATTATCACGTCGTGATTCTATGAAACTTCTATAATTTGATTCAATAGGATTTTTAAATTGGTGTGTAAAAACAATAAAGGCATTTTTGTTTGACTATATTAAAGTATCGTATTATATGATAATATATTAATACGATGTTTAGTGATTGTATTGTTTAAATCAATACATATGGTAAATTAATACAGATTACGTCGTCTTATAAAATACGACTCATTTTTATTGTATTATATGTTTATTTTATAGCGGGTTCATGATTCGTGTTGGGATTGGACACGATTGAAGGTCGGGGTTAGGCTAACACGAGGTCTTGTCGAAACCTATAATTATTTTTAAAAAAATGGGTCACAATGCAAATTTATATTTTCTGAAAATTACATTTTGACACCTTAATTTTTTATAAAAAAAATAAAACATTGACCCCAAATTTTTCTTAAATATTAAATTTTGACCCTAAAACTTATTAAAAATTTCATTTTGACCCCAAAAATTTTTTTAAAAATTGCATTTTAAATTTTTAAAATTTGTGTGTCGTCTTATGATAAAACAGCACATAACAACACAATATAATATAATTTATACAGTACAAGAAAATACAAGTTACCAAACATAACCTAAAAACCTCTAGCTAGTTTTTCAATCCATTGAGGGGCTAGGATGGTATTGGTTGAATCTTTTAAGGCCCTTTTCTTGTTTCTATTTTCTTCAATCATTTCTTCTTATTGAATAGAATTTTAAAAAGATGATCCTACCCTAAGACTAACAAGACAGTTCATAAGTTTATGCTCTGATTATTGTTCAAATGAGACTCGAGAAATCATTGGTAAAAAATTTGGTTATTTT